AAGGCGCAAGCCTATTTTTCCCTCAAATATACTGACTGACTGACTGACTGACGTCTGCGTGGTATCATGTAGAATGCTTTGTTAAGGTAAGAGTAGATCACGGCCACTGCTTACTGCTTAGAATGGTGGTAATTGACAAGGTTAAGGGAAGGTAAATGACCCGTTTCATAGAATCTTTCAGGTGAAAAAGCATACTACGAGGCACCTTCAAGCTTAGTTTCTAAGCAGAAGGAAGAATTTGATTTAAAATATTATTTCAGGAAGTTTTGCTAAAGCCGAGCTTTTATGAACGCCTCAATAACTATTTATGTCCGAACGAGATCGCCACTTGAAGACAGAATCAATAATAGAGCAAAGAATCCATTTAAAATACAGACTGAGAATTTATGGTTAAGTAATCGATGGCGATCGTCACTCCCTTGATAACGGAGATTGGAATACTATTAGTTCTGGAAGAGGGTAAGAAGTAATTCTGAGAAGTAATTCTAAAGAAAAATTAATGGTACTGATAACATAGAATGAATATGGTTGAAATGACGGAACTGGTTCAGATTCCTTAATAAGATGTTTAACAAAGAATGCACTAAGCAATTCAGATTTGTCATTGACTTCGAGAAGGAATTTTTTTATCTTCATTTAGATACGCAGGAATTCTATTATCACGTTTAGAGGAGGATTTACGACAAAACAGTTGGGCAACAGATTTTGCAGAGTTTAGCTCGCAAAGTGTACATGATTCCCTCTGTCTGTCATATACAAGACGCATGTTTGAGGCTTATTTGAAAATCTTTGCGATCATTAGATGCATGGATAACGAATTGAAAGACTGATTTCTCAACTGCCTCCTCAATTCATTTAGTCTGGGCAAAACAACGTCAGAAGAAGTTATCTTCGGAAAAAGACAGCAGTCAGTGCCTGTAATCTGCTTTGATCTTGGAAAAGCCTTCAAAGGTTGCCGTACAGATGTCTGAACGTACATTTTTAGGTTAAACTGGGGGCCCTCAGCGTCCAGCCATCTCAAATTGACTTCCTCGAGTCCTTATATCCAACTACTATCAAACGTGCTTTGTTAGTAATGTCCGCATGAGGTCCAACTCGGACACAAATGGCATATTCCAAGACACTTAAATTTTACGACCCAAGTTTTACATTTGTTTGCTTAATTAATTGACATCATCTCCTTTGGCGGTGATCTTCGTTGCTTTTAATTTCTCATCTCCGTCTTTACTCTAAATGTTTTTTTTCAATGATCGTGTTAAATAGCTTTTTCTGTCGTCAAAGAAATATCAAGGTCGCATCCATTCGCAGCTAGATGGTCCTCACCACTTTTAACGCTCCTTCCTCGCTTTGAGTCTAGGCGAATGGTGGACGATCGTGGTTGTTACCGACCTCATCTGATAATAATTATAATGACGTATCATCCAAACAGATTGCGTGATTAACCTAATCTGATTTGGAAATATCCGCTTGATAAAAAAACAGTTGTCCTTCGACACCCGCCTGGGCTGTAGCGGTGTTCACCACCGGCCGCGGTGATAGCAGATCTCGGTCTACATCTCGGAGAGCCAGTCACAGGTGCCATAGACTACTATTCGCCAAGCAGCTGCTGAAGCGGCCAGTGACCCACACTCGCATGACATTTTCGCATTCATGCTAACAGTGCGCGCAGTGCGCGAGCCTGCCATACGTCGGCGCTACAGATCACCACTGAGTTTCAGTGTAAAGCAAACAACTCCTACTGTTC